GTTCGCTCGGCATAATTTAGTGCGAGTGCTGTGTACTTGCCACTTCAAAGTTGTGGGTTTTCAAGGTTTCTAGTTGTTGCTCGACTGACAGGCTAAATGTATGTGGCATTAAAATTTTTTACTGATCAAACTAACCAGGGAGTTTTCAGCGTCAAATTAAGATAGCAATGAAATGAAATAGAATTTCGTTACAATTAAAAAGCACCAGTTCTATTTTTCTTTTCTGACTTTTTTTTGCACTGATTCAGTATTCTCTAGCAGGCGTTTGCATTCGCCTTGATTTGCATGATGGTAGCACATACCATCAAAGGCCAGGAGTTCACCAGTAGTTAATGTTGAGTACTACTGATCACAGCAATGCAAAATTTCTGGTGGGTGTTTCACCACGAGTCACTAGACATCCTGGCCATTACTTTTGATTTGCAAACGTATTTATGCTGAAAGTTCAGATGCCATACATTTACCTACTGAAGGCTTTTGTATGTTAGTGCGAGTAAGTTTGATTTCAGATATAAATAAGCTTCGACTGTGAATTAGCAATTGCTCTATGCTGTTATAGCACTTGATCAAGAACTTGGCTTGAAAAATATGTACTCTATATTCTATGGTCATATTTGGCGTGCAGCATTAGAAGAACATATTCTATAATGACTGAATCATAAAGCTTTTGTTTTTTAACATCAACAAACCAACTGCAACAGCTGTGTATATAAATCTACAAAAAGCAGCGACAACTGTACCCTGTGCCGCTCGAATGTAGCAGTGTTCTCGGTAGAAGCTGGCTCTGAATAAATCCTTGTTAAGTCCTACAACTCTTTCATGCAGACAATAAGGAAAAAAAAATTCAAGCACCCCTACACTCTGGCCAACAAAGACAACAAACACAAAAATGAGCAGGCCATGTCTGCTTAACTGCATGAAATACTAATTCAGGAACAATGATATGTAGCCGTAGCACAAGACATGGACCATTTAAAATGATGCAAATAAAAAAAAAATAAGAGTGGAGAATGCAGAGAGGCCTCAGGATAGCAACAGCACCTTAAATGAGCACACTAGAAGAAGACCCTTGCATGCTTTGAACAATCATGAGCATTAACTAATTTGAATAAAGAGGGCATTCGCTAAAGTATTACTGCTAACAATTATTCTATCTACGGAAGGTTTACGCTAAGGAAACAAAACAGCATAGACGAATTCATTAGTGGCACAGAAATTAACCGCTTTGCTCCGTATGCCCAACAATGAGCACTTGATTACAATGCCGAGGGCTTTAGGGCCAATCAAAACATCTGCCAAGGCGTGGGCACAGCAATTTAATAGAAAAACAAAACAGCACAAAATCTGCAAAATCAGAATGAATGACCAATGCTTTGGCATCTCAGTTGACTTTCCATTGACAACAGCATACTTCAAGTGTTCGTTGTAATTTTACTAGAGTTTTTTTTATGCTGTAGCGCAGGCTTGTTGCAAAGAACCATCCTCAACATCACTGGCATGGCTTTTAGCCAATTGTCTGAATTTAGCAGTTTGCATTGATCAAAAATGTGCGCTTTCAGACCTTTCACCATGAAGCGTTTACGTACCCTTAGGCAGGCTAGGCAATAATTGCAAGCGTTATACGTCCCAACACCCAATATATTATTAAGAGGCACACTGTAGAAAGAAACTGAGTTGAAATTGACTAGCAGGAGTCCTTAAGGGGGGACGTGGCAAGTAAAACTAATTTTTTTATTAATGTACTGTTTGTGATGAAATTTGGTGTGTGTATGTGGATGATTGTGAGGATTCCAAATATGAAAACCGTTTTCAAATACCTCTTGTACTTTTTGAGTTACAAGCATAATTATACTAATTAATGCTCTTCACACTTAAAGAGATAATTATTGCTAAATGAAATTATTTTTTCATATTATTATGTTCCCAAAGCATCAACTTGTGCAAAGAAGCTATTAGTTGATTTTTCTAGTTCTTGTAACCATAAATAAAATTTCCAAAACATGAATGTTGTTTTGCGCACACATCGCAGTAATTATAAAACGTGTTCTAAAAATTTTAAATGATGAGTAAGAAGAGAGATAAAGCTTTATTGCACTGCTAAAGGCCTCCTGAGCCTAGTGCAAAAAACGGAACGACTCTATCAGTCTTTGTTAGAAAATGACGGATGTTCTAGCGAAGGCACATAGGCGAAAATCAAGAGTTGAGAAAACTGACTTTGAAAGTTCACTCTTGTTTGGAAGTTCACAACATGCCTAAAACACTCAGAATCCTCCTGGGCAGTAATCCTGAGATGCTGTGGCCTTGGCCTCTGTAGAAGGTTGCGCAAGGAAGTGCCCATTTTTTTTTTCACATGGTTAACACACTCCTGTTTCTTAATCACCATGTAGCCATACACCTTGTCTTGCGTGAGGGCAAGGTACGTACGGCTGTCACCGTCGCAGAGCACATTGATGTATCGAAGCTTGTACTTGGTAAATGATCTTTCAAACATGATCCTAGCTGCTTCTACTTCCATTTGGCCTGCATTAGCATCGGTGTTCTTTTGGCACTGTGGCTTGTGTTTCTCAAGCCACTCCTCATAGTTGTCGTCACCAGGCTTGGGGCCAACAGCACAGCCTTGGCAGTAGTTGGACAGGACACAGTGGTCCAAGACCAAGCCTGTGTACAGCTCGATTACACAGCCCACGCCAATATGACTTCTGTGCCCCCTCGTCATCCACGCGCCGTCGTAAATGACGTCAATGTTGCCTGGCACTCCTCCTAGGTCCTTGTAAATGTCATGCACCTTCTGTGCACTTTCTGCTTCAATGCGGGTGGCAGCTGATGTGGTGGCAGGGTGGCTGTACTTCCTTTGCAGTCTCTGGTAGGACTTGTGGTGCAGTGCTCGATGCGAAATGTCCATCGCAGAAAAAATGTCATTTATGGCAGATTGTTTTCTGCCAACTGACTGCACAGCCCTCAAAACACGCACGTTTACCTCAAAGGGGTTCGTTTTTTGTTGCCCGGAGCACCTCGGGGACGACCACGCACTGTTCACTCTGCCACAATTGTCACAAAAAAGTTCCATCCTCGCCGCGAGTCCAAGGCAGTGCGTAGTCTCGAGGCGTATCGACCCTTCGTCGCACTTGTTGCACTTTACTGACGAAAGCAGACCGTTCAGCATCTTCTTATTTACAATGAAGAATGTGGAGTCCTTACCGCCGTCATTTTCGTCGCAGCCTTCGTTCAGAAGCTCGAGCTTCCGCTTTGAAGCGGACTTCGATGCTACGGCATCCAAAACATCCCGCCTTGTCTGCGCCCGCTGCGCGATTTCTTCACTGCTCGGAATCTGGGCCGAAACTCGCGATAGAATGTTCGACGCGCGCACGCCCGGAGTTGCAACGGCTGCCGACGCGGTGCCACCGCAATCGGGTTCGCGAGAGCGTCCATCACGGTCGACGGCATCCGGCGGTCTGACATACGACGATGTGGCACCTTCCACACTCTCGGCCTCACAACAATCAGCGAAGGGTCTGAGTAGAGGCTCCGTGACGCTTGAAGAGCATGCTCCGTCCGGAACTGCGACTGGGACGGCAGCCGCAGTCGTCTGCCCTTTGTTCCAAGCTTTCCGACGCTTGCCGTACTTGTGGACGCTCCGGAACTTTTTTTGCGGCAACATAGCACCGCAGTATGAGCAAGCACTCAGAAGAGACCACCGATGTAAACAAAGCTTGGTAAAAAAAGCACGCGAACTATCACAAAAACAGCAAACTGGCAAAAAACGAAGCGCACGCCGGATGATTCTCGACACGGCGGCCGCAGATGCGCTCGCGCTTCCAAGGTTGCCAAGGTGCGCGGCGCAGCTTTGACCAGTAAGAGGTCGCGCCTGCTACCACGTGACCCGCGCAGCCAATTGCCGTTCTTCGTTTTCGTTTTTTTACTTGCTCCTCGCGCTTTTATTTTCACTCGGCGAAATACGAGACCGCGACCATCGGGAAGCCGGCTTTCTCCTCTTTCCAAAGCTACCAAAATGGCGGCCCACGGTCAACAACTTGGCGCGTTTGTGCGGCGTGAACAACACCGTTTCAGGGGCTTTTTTTTCGCACTTTTCGGCGACTAGCCTCGGCAAAAACACTATTTGCGGGATTTGTAGCGCACGTTTCGCTGTAATATTTTAGAACAAGGAAGTTGAAGGTCTGAAGATTACGAAAAAAAATAAATCAGAAAATCGCATATTTTGACCAAAATCGGCACTTTACTTGCCGCGCCCCCCCTTAAGTGTGCAGCGAAATCTAGCATCCTACTGTTCTTCTCTATTTCGAAGATTTTTTGGTAATTTGCAAAAAAAAAAAAAAAAAAAGCCGCAGTAAAATACTTCATCACGAACGCTGCCAAGATAAAATCACAAAGAATATACACATCCGTCTATGAAACATTATTTTCACAGAAACCAAAGGACTGCAGCATCATCACCACACAGTTCTCTTCAATAATTTTTCTAGGAAGCTATGAATAGATAATTCTTAGAGCACTCCTAATTTACTAGGTCACTAAATTCAGAGAAGTTTATGCCCAGATGCAACATTAATACATTGACTCGGTCAGTGACTGCATCAATTTTAGAATAAGGCAATGAGTTAACACTGTTACTTTAGGTGAGCAAAATAGTAAATAATTATGAAAGAAAACATTGTAGTGGAATGCACAAGACTAGCTGTTTAAAGTGATATGTCATAAAAACATACATGAAAGACTCAAAAGGAAATGTAATGTAAGCCACAAGTGCCATCCTGAGGCCTCACCTTAGATGCAAATGATCTGGCAGATGTCAGAATGCATCAACAAAACAATTGCAACAAGACTAATGACGGGAGACCAGTAAGTGCTCCTACTCATATGTTGTATGGTGCAAATTTGCCCGCAGTGAATGAAAACAGGCCGTCAAAGACTGACGGATCGTTGTGGTGACTCCACCCATACAGTTCCTCCTGCCAAGAGCGCGGAGAGCGGGACCCACTTGCCTTGTCCTCCTCGTCAGCACTTTCGTCACTGTGCTCGTTGTCGCGTGTGCAGTGCTTGCAGCGCGGCCCGTCCCGCTTGGGGTCGTAGCTGAGTCCGCAACGCTGGCAAATGAGCTGCGGCTTATTGGCCGACGCTAGCCTGCCCTTGGGGAGGTCCGAACTGCCATCAGTTCTGCCGTCGGCGTTGCCCTTGGCGCGGGTCCCCCTGCCACTCGTGACCTTTCCCAGTGGCACGTCGGAGTCGGAATCCGAGTCCATGACGTCGTCCAACGGGAGGCGACACGATTCATCTGCGTCATCTTTCTAGAGAGCAAGAATGATGAGCCGGTGAAGGGCGAGAAAACGAAGTATTAAAAAGATGGGCAAAAATTAATGGAGTTAGATCATCAAAGCTATGCTGTTAGGCCACTGTAGAGGACACATGCAGGTTAGCTTTATTGACCAATCGACCCTTCTTATAATGCGCAAGTGCACTTCCCTGTGCTGCATATTCACCCAAATAATGGTGGCACCTGAGGTGCTTGAAGTGGAGAAGAGAATCTAGTTGCACGTGCTGGGTCTTGTCTATCATGCACATTTATGTTGAAAGAGCAGAGTCAACATTTTTCACGTGACTTGTCCCATTGCGACAGGTGTGCTCACTCAGTCAGCTAATCCTACAAGGTGTGCGTGTGCACTTCTGTGTACTGCCCAAACGGTGAGTCTATACTACAAACCAAGCTAACCATTTTCCCCACTGAATGTATCAATGCCAGGTGGGACCTTTAATCAGAATTAAATAACTGGAAAATCTAGCTAGCCTGAGCTAACTTAACCGATCATGTTCATCAAGGCTATGTGAACTTCACAATACAAATTAAACCATCTAAACATGCATACTAATGCAGACATAATTAAACAAATATTCAACACAGATGCTGGTTAGTGGGACTTTAAAGGCACATGGAGACCCCAAACTTGACAAATAATGAAAAAGAATGGTAGCCACAAGGAGTAAAAATAAATTAATGAATGAATCAAAGCACAACTGTGCAATCACCCTTACAGCAGCTTCAGGCTTGCAGGGCCAGCGCTGGTGCATCTTGAGGCCCCGCTCGGACGTGAATGTCCTTGAACAGCGATCGCACTCGGGACCGCTGGTGCCATTTTTCTGGGGAGTGGCCACAGGCGTAGCAGGTGCGGGCTTTTTGGCGCTGCTTTCCGATGCGGCCAACTTCTTTTTGCCCGATCCTGGAGGCCTCCCTCGGCCTCGTTTGACGGGAGTCTCGGCAGTTGGAGCTGTGCTCGCGGCTTTGGCTTTTGCAGCAGGGATGGGCTTGGTGGTCCTGCTCTTTCGCTGGACAACGTGTAGGAAATGAACATTTGCACACTTCATCGTATTGCTCCCAGAGAGCATTGGTAATAGAGAGACTATAGTCAATTATAAATTTAAAAAAATAATTATATATGTATCATCAGTGGTTATGCGTTATCTAAGTCACTAAACACAAATATTTAGGACTAATACTCACATCAGACTTGATGTGAGTATTAGTCCTAAATAGTGAAAGTCCTATTAGTCCTAAAAAGTGAAATGAACACATAGAATATATTGAAAGAAAAGTAATGAAAAAGCTTGGCTATTTGCGAAGGAGGCTTGCGAATGCCACACCGCACATCAAACTTCTCGCATTATGAACTTTCATTAAACCGGTATTAGAATATCGAGCTGCGGTGTGGGATCCCTTTACTGAGTCCAATGTTAAAAAATTAGAAATGGCGCAAAGAAAATATGCCCGATTTGTTTTCAATTGTTATAGTTGGTGCACATCACCTTCACTTCTAACTAAAGCGAAGCTCGAAAAACTACAGGAGAGAAGAAGAATGAAGAGGCTGAAGCTTTTTCACCTCATTTTCCACAACAAAATTAGAATCAACAAAACAGCGCACATTAGACAAACAAGTGAATGTGCTGTGCACTCATATCATTCAAAGAAAGTTGTAGGTAACGTAAACCGCACAGACACATTCAGGTATTCATTTTCTCCAAGAAGTACCAGTGAGTGCAATTACCTAGCACACGATACCGTAGAGGGGCCAACAGTTGATTTATTTCTACGTGCTTTCAACAACCACTAACAATTTTTTTGTATAGTCATGCAGCCCAGAATTATGCAACGCCTCCATTTTTCAGCAGAACGTTTCAGTCAGCAAAACTATGCCATTTTTACAATGTTTTTCTTTTGTTCTTTCGGAAATTGATACAAAATTGCTGGATTGTGTGCTTTTTTGCATTGTAAATTATGCTTTCCGTTTGGCTTTTTCAGTCATAACCACTTTCAGTATGTGGTGTGATGTTAATTATGTTTTTACAGTAGACAGTTCTGTATGCCCATTCCTGCTTAAGACCTGGTAACAGATCAGCAGTATGTAATAAATAAATGATATATATGCACTGCCCAGTGAATCGAGGCATACCTACGATTCAATTGTGCAAGTAAGTTGTGCTAGGTTGGTTAGTAAATTTTCTCTGCTTATTTAAGTACTACATATAGTGATTTAAAGGTGCTTCGTTTCTACCTAAAGTGCTATGTTTCCTTCAGCAACGATTTCAGAACACATCATGACATTTACTGGGAGCTTCAAGATTTTTCACATGAGTACAGTGACACAAATGTGTTGCTCTACAGCAAAGTTGACTACCACTACCAGAAGCACGCTTCACGTACTCGACATCAAGAGCATAGCGAATGTTACAGTATGGTGCAACTATGCAAATTTCCTGAGGGGGAGACAGCAATAGCTCTGAGCAGAGTTTGTACGTACTCGACATCAAGAGCATAGCGAACGTTACAGTATGGTGCAACTATGCAAATTTCCTGAGGGGGAGACAGCAATAGCTCTGAGCAGAGTTTGTATTTATTCGTGGATTGTAATCATCTATTGTGCTTAAATCGAGCAGTACTTCAAGACCGAGTTAGTGTGCTGCTTCTCGCGGCATCTGCGATTGCGGATTGGTAGAGTTGCACTTCAATGCCGAAGCCTAAGCAAGGCGCACACAAGAGAACAAGTGCTAGCTGTTTCACATGCCTTGCTCTGGTCTTTTCCTACAAAAGCACAGCCTTACCAAAAAGAGATTAAAGGGACCGTAAAGACAAATAACAACATATGTAAGAGTGAAAGCTCAATGTACGTCTAAAACGGCAATACATTATCAACAGTTCCCTACTTACCAAGAAATTAACCTAAATGTATCACACGATGCGCACCACGAGAGTGGGACATTTTCGAAATGATCCCGGTGACGTGAGAGTGCCCGGCTACAGTTAACCACTTGTTATCAAACTAGCTGCAATAAAAGAAGAACCTTCCATCGATCAAGAGATGTAAAAAAATGCCTCTTGTCCATTTCTGTTTGATTTATAGAGAAAGAACATCCTGGCCTTACTATAGAGCAAGGCGCGAATGAAAGTACCATTTTAGTCTGGTTAGGCTGGATAGGTGGTGCCATCTAGCAGGGCCCAGTAGAACCAAGACAGCTTGAAGCTTGATTGTAATAACCCCACAAGTTGAAATGTTACGTTCCACTGCTCCCATCACATAAGCTGCCCATTTATTCCTCCCTACCATTGTTTTAGGTCCAACCCACACACAAAAAGCCCGTACTATCTACATCAGATGAAATGTGAACAATGGCAAGCATTCTTAATGCTATAGTGCGTGCCATCCAGTTATAAGCACCAACAAGCGTGCATATGTGCAATGCTACCAACGAGCATGCACCAACCAATAATGATGACTGAAGCGCACGTACGATACTCTTGAGAATGCTTGCCGCTAATCGAGGTTTCATCAACAGATTATAGTATATCATAATTACCAACAATGGTGCACTAAAGTGTGCTTTCACAAAAAGAAGGCAAAATTACGAAAAAGTGACACTTCATTCTTATTGCCTTCATATCCAGGTGTGTCCCAGAACTTTAATGTTACTGTGGCATCCACACATGCAATGTATGTGCTGTATTTTGTGTGTGTAGTTGGCTTGCATGGTCCCACATGTATGAATACATATTTAGATGCGTATCGTCTGAATTTTACCGCAGTATTTTCTTTGAAAGGCACAAGAACATGTTATTTCTGTTATTGCTTTTTTTCTCTCCGACGTAAACCCTTTGAGGTGATGTAGTTACTCTGTAAATAAATAGGTAAATAAACAAATATTGAGGCTGCAACTTAGACATTAGATGCACTTATGACTGTTAAAACCACCAATCGGTAGCCTGCAAAAACATAAATGCCTTTTAGAGCCCCGCTTCAACGGAAAAACCCAATGCTTAGGCGTGCTTGTATATGCCACATTCGCAGTATAAAAATGTGAAATGCTAACAAGAATATAGAACCCAAGTTTACAGTGCCTTGTCCCAATGCATCAAGTTCTTGTTTAAGCTGGCATTAATTTTGGCCTAAGCACAAGACATAGCCTTAAGCTGTTTTCTGTGAAAAGGAGACCGTGGAAACAAAAGCGTAAATATTGGTTAAACCCAAGTTGAGTCTAAATAAAAAGAGCATGGGCGAGTTTGCATTATGCCCTCACTCTAAATGCAGCCCATGCGGCTAGAAACCTTCAGTGCTTGGTAGTGTGATAGCTGATAACTTAATGCAACGAGTGACATAAGAAACCGTTCAAGAGTGCCATCGCAAAATTCTGACGATAAAATAACTTGCCAGATTAACTTATGTAGACTGAAACAAGGCAACTTCGCACTAGTGACGCCAAGCCTGATGGAACGCACAGAGCTTGCCTTGTTCCCCTTTCTTTTGTGGTTTCTGTCCTTTTCTTAGTCTCATTTGTCTAGGTTTATTTCAATTCATGGTTAGCTATATTCCAAGCATTTCTCTATTACCTGATTGATAGCATGAATGTGGTTGATTGTTGAGTAGCCTGTTCAAAATGCTGCTTGCTCCTTTGGTTGATTGAATTCGAATGTTGTCTTAATTCTGTTAGCAATTACCTTCGTAAATAGCTTGTATAATACGGAGAGCAAGCTGATCGGTCTGTAATTCCTCAAGTCCTTGTCATCTCCTCTCTTATGTATTAAGATGATGTCAGCAATCTTCCAAGATTCTGGTACTCTTCCCGTCAGGAGACACCTCGTAAACAGAGTGGCTACTTTTTTAAACATAATTAGTCCTCCATCTTTCAGCAGATCTGATGTTACCCGATCCTCACCACAAGCTTTGCCTTTTTGCATGTTCTCCAAGGCTTTTCCGACTTCTTCTATCATTACTGGTAGGGTGTCACCTGGGTTACTGCTAGTTCTTATATTAAGGATATCATAGTTGAAATAAAGACGAGGAAGCGGAAATGGGCCGGGCACGTAGTGCGTAGACAGGATAACTGCTGTTCATTAGGAGTAACTAACTGGATTCCTAGAGAAGGCAAGCGGGTTAGGGGGAGACAGAAGGTTAGGTGGGCAGATGAGATTAAGAAGTTTGCAGGTGTGAAATGGCAGCAGCAAGCACAAGACCGAGTTGACTGGCGGAACATGGGAGAGGCCTTAGTCCTGCAGTGGACGTAGTCAGGCTGATGATGATTTCAATTTGTGTGTTTATCATCTCTTGGTCCCTTCCTTTTCTGAAGCAGGACTGATAGCTGGGCTAGTTGGTGATACATTAGGGCAGTACCAGTGCACAAACTCACGGGATGAAGAGAATAAACACAAACAAATGCTGCTCTCAACTCTCCTTATTTCTCACTGTCTGTCTCTTTTCTTTATGTATTTATTGTTTATGCTGACCTGTCAGTACTGTAAGACTGGCAGTACTGTAATAAATCTAATAAACTGCACAGTAGTTTGGCAGTCATACTTGTACAATCAGCTTTTCGACAAATTTGAACCAATTTGAAGAAGATAATTACAGTGTCACAAGTGAGGAAACAAACGCATCAAGGACATACTGCAGGATAACGGAAAAATTGAGGGTGTAGCGTCAACACGGCAACCCGTGGCGTGATGTCATCTCACAGTCCCAAGCCCAGCGAGCTTTATGAGTAGCATGAAGAAATATTTTCTCGAGGTTGATACAGGTGCATATCCCACCTTCTATAGCTGAATGGGTCATAAACCAACCATCAAATGACCTCAGAACCAGCATTGATTGCCTTTTTCTCGTATCTGTTGAAAAAGAGCGAAGTTACAGGAGTTACAAGTACTTCATTTCTTCATTGATTCTGACGAGCGCCCTGGAAGCTGCACAAAGAGATATGGCAAGGGGAAAGAGGTCACATGAGTGCATGTCAGGAGCCTCAGTGCTTGCTGAAACGTGATCCCACTTTCCTCTTACAATTCCTGGATGTAATGGGTAATGTTAGCAGCAGACTTGATTCGCGCCGACGTTGCGATTCCTGGCTCACTGTGTGATGTTAGCAGTTGACTACAGAGTGCAGCACTGGAACATGACAAGGTGCACACCAGATTTGCGTCAGCTACTGGCCAATAGCATGCTATTCGCAGTTTGACGCGAGAATCCAGGCACCTGTACAAGTTGCTCGACGCCATTTTCCCTCAAAGAATTCGCCTGCCCCTCTCCTCCTGACCGAACAGATAGCAGCTGGTCAACAATCGCTGTCACTTTGTGTCACCCTGCCCCTCAAAGATACAACATGGTGTCCCATTGGCTTAATTTTGGAGGGATTTGGGCCTGGCTTGCCCAAAATGTGGGGACACAAGACAGGCTTCGAGAAGACCACTTTGGAACCTCAGAGGATGCATATGCATTTTGACCTCTTCGGCCACCGGCGATCCTTTGTTTGTTTTTCGTCGCCAACTAGTGGTTACGTCGCCCCATCGGGGCCCCGGCTTCCGCGGGCAGCATCTCATTATCGTGCACCATATGTTCTTTCAACTGCTCTTACGTCTGTTCACTTTCATCTGCTGCAAGGTGCACGATTGTGGAAACGCTGGCCCAAGGGCAGGTTGACCCTCCAAGCTTGCTGCTTTCTTTGTTTTATAAGTACGCCACTCGGGGCCATTTTTTGGTATATTTTGCAGCTTGCATTAGCGAATTTGTATTCTGAATAATTGATCTCATTGTACTAAATTACCTGCAATAAACCAACTATTTGAAAAGTGTCGCCTAGGGTCTCCCTCAGCGCACGCGTGAGCTCGCCGACCCCTTACAGCGATGGTTTGAGCTTACGTGCAGAGCAGTGCAGATGGTACACAGAGCGACAAGAGAAACGAGGACGCTGCACCTTGCATGGAGCTCTCAGTACTTGGACCCGTGGTGATGTTCGGTGGGTACGACTAAGAGAAGCGAGGCCGTGTGGGCAATTTAACAACAGAAGAGGAAACGACAACAAAGCATTGTCAAACAGCAGGTGCCGGCAGGTACTAAGAGATTGCACACAAGTCTCTGAATGAAAGGAGGGTGCTCAACAAAATGGCAACCTTGTGCTCTGCTTGTAAACTCTCTTTGGTGTGCACGACTGCAAGATTTGGCTGAACTGTTCACAGCTGAGTCTGCTATCCACAGGATGTGATTTCTCACCAAGCCCAGGAGATGGTTCATGACTATTTAAGTAAAAAGAAACTAAAGTTCTATTCACATTTGTGGACAGCAACTCTCAAGTACATGCATGAACTGTGTTCTTAATCCCCATCAAAAGCCACATCACACATCTCCGTTCCATTGTTGAGAGCAGAAGCTGGTTTCCCGTCAGACTTCTCATTATTCATAAAATGCTGCCCCAGCAAGAAATTTTTTCAAATGCGAGAGGCAGGAACAGCTGTCACCTTTAGCCCATCGATAGGCCCGTTACTAGGTAATAGTACAAGGTAAGGCAATGAACTCTGGCACCATCTACAGAGCGCTTTATAAAGTTTTTTTAATTTTAAATTTAATCGTCCTTTTTTACACTGACAAGCTGTGAGCACTGCGATTAACAAAGGCTGTTATCCTTGTGCCTCGACTAGCACCTGCAATTGGCATTCCTTCCCTGCTTGCATCCAGTGAGAAGCAGGTGAACCACACCATTTTCACGTGGACTCTCCTTCCCACTTACGTTTCTCTCTCTCTACTTGTTTTGTGCAGCACACTTTAAGAGGAAACATTCATGATACTCAGACAGATGATAATGTGAAGTCTCCGACTGTAGTTGACGATCATAAAAGGGCATAATACCTAGGTAGAGGAATTTGTATTACTCGTCCATAACTGCCACGGACATGATTAAGAATGCGACTTTCGAGTCAGCGTGTCGTTGGTCGAAGCATGGCTCACACAGTGGAAAAGCACACGGTACTTTGCATAAACTTCATCTGTGTTTTATGAAAGCAGTTATTTCATATTCTCTTGATTTGAGCGCTACTGCATAGTCTACTTGCCATGGTGCTTCATTTCCGATTGCCAAACTTATTGAAAGGTTCCTACTAGGATGGGTGGATGGCTGCTAAACTTTATTGCAAGTCTCGAGATGCACGACTCAATGTACAGCAAGCCAGCTGCGATCGCTGTATCGTGAGCCCTCTGGACAGCCCACAGTTGAGTCAACATTGGGGCTCTTGATAGTGGATAGCGACTTCGCTTCGTTGGTTTGGCCCGTGCATCATAACGAAGGGCAACGCCAAAGCAGATGGTCTAGTCTACCAAATTAGTTGCAGTGCCTGCAGGTTATAGTGGGATAATTGTTGGGATTAAGGCTGGCATATGAACCTGTCTGCAATAGTCTGAAAGTCAAAGCCTGAGCTCCATTGAACTTTTTGTGGGGAAAGGAAAAGTCTCGCCTGCTGAGATAGAAGTGCTGTGTGATTTCATGTGTGGTAGGATGATCTGTGTTGTACACGATTGCAGGCTGGTGGGCGAGTTACAATGCAGCACTAAGAATACAGATAGCACATAGGATGTCCTTTGCCATATATGATGTAGAAAAATATGAAATGCCATTCACTCTGCAAAAAATGGCTAAGTGTCGATAACGAGGTTGGCTCAACCTAAGCGAACAAGTGACGAAGTTTATGACAAGCTGGGGTAGTCATGATTTCGAAGGGTTTAAAATAGGTACAGACACTCTGCTTTTGCATCATTTTCTTATACGATATCAGCATTTTCTTATAAGTTATCTATGGCTGTAATGATCACGCGGCAGCAGCCTATACTTCAGCATGGCATGCACATCACAGCTGTTCAAAAATAAAAGTGAAACGAGTTTGCAAAAAATGAAATATTGTTGCAAACATTATGCATACTCTTCGATTACCTATTATGCACATGCGTTTACACCATATTTATCAGTTCAAGTGAAAGCACAAAGCAGAAGCATTACCTCGAGTCATAAATTCTCCCGAAATTATTATGCACACTAAATCAGATGAAGTAAAGAGAGTTGTGTGCAGTCCGCGACTATTTCAACACACAGCTCCACGATTTCTGAGAAGTTCGCGAAAGGGGGAGGGGACGAATTGCAGAGCGGCATTTGTTTCATTAAGTGAACAATGAATTCCGTCCACGTAGGCCAAGCACTTGACTCTTGCTCACTGAGTGAGCAGAGCAGCTGCGAACAACACTGGCGGTGTTGCGAAACTCTGAAGACATGCTTATCCACCACAGCGTCAAAAGTACATCTCACAATTAATGACACAGTACAGTGAAGCATCCGGCACTAATCAAGATGCTGATAGTCCCCCCCCCCCCCCTCTCTGCAGACAAATTCATAGCATACACGGATAAAATGTCGCCGCTTTAAATACGCACGCAAAAAAAAAAAAATGTGACCAGCAATACAAAGGGCGCAAAAAGAGGAAAAAGTCAAATTAAACAACGAAAAGTAACGAACAAAAAGTGGCTGCGTTACCTTTTTATCCATGGCAAATAAAAAAGTGGCTCGACTCTAAAAAGGAAGCAAAAGAAAGTAAGGAACAACGTGTTAGCAAGACACAATTTCAGGCTGAATCACGCATAAAACGGCACAAGTACGCAATCATAAGCGGCCGAATGAAATAAAAACGAGCAATGCAGGAAAATAAAGCGATACGACTAACGTCGCGTGAGAGGGCAGCGCCGGTGCCGCTAAGCGTGAAAACATGTATCGATCCGAAGTTAACAACTGTTGCTTCGTGAAACAGCTACAAGTGTGCACCGCAAAATCACTGCAAACAGGCAGAACCAGCGCCAACTCTGATCAACACGACGAGAGCTATTGAGGTTTGGCCAACGCGTCTTACAAACCACCGAGCACGGAGGGGGGAAAGAATTAGTTTTCTAAACTGACCCGAGAGCAGCGCTAAAACGCGCTACATCGAACAAATTACCGAAGCCATTGCAAAAATAATCGGGCCGAAATTTGGGGATGACTCGCCGACATCGGACGACCACACGTAGAAGCCGACGATAAAAAAACGACCCGTCCGCCGCCATCACCGAACTGTCGGGATAGGCATTCCACCATATCACCAAAGCCGTAGGGAGAAGCGATGTGTTTACCGGCCGCTTTGGACGGGGCGCTTCCACCGGTGCGGACAACGAAGCACCGCTGGCAGGAAGCCGTGCGGTCGTCCGAAGGCGACGATGAGACTGCCGCCTTCACGTCGCCGAAAGCGCTAAATTAAAAGCATCTCTCCCGCGCCCGCCTAACCGTGTTTCCTGGGAAAAGCTTCGAGAGACAACGGACAATGCGCCCCGTGACCTGGTCCCGCTGGGGCTACGGGCACGGCGAAAAGGCCTAAATAGACGCGACCCGATGCTCGCGGCACGACCAGGATTGTTATACGACGAATGTCGAGGAAATCAGGCAGCAAATGCGAAATTTCGAAAACAGTGGCGTCCAAACTTACCCTATATACGAGTCCTAGCGCAGAAATGACACTACAAATAAAGCCAGCAACAACAACAAAAAGTTGACTTTATAACGCGACACTTGGCGCCGCCACTCGCCCGCTTCAATGAAAACTGATTCGCCTTTACAAACTCCTGTCTTAAAATTTATTTGCATAAATGTAAGGTTAAATAAATAGTTATTTTTAAACTTGGCCAGAACTATTACAAAGAGGAAACTTATTTGAAAGCGCGCTCTTGAGTTGCCCGCCAAACGTCGTGTTTTGCTAGCAGCCTGTAGGCAACAATGGCGACCACCTGGCATCTCGAGAAAATTTATCCAAATTCATGGCAATTTTTCAGCGGCCGTTGTCGATTCGTCGATTGTGTCTGACGCAGCATTTGATCATATCGTTTAAATTCTGAAACATTCTGGCGTGTTTAGGCATTAGTCACGCAGACAAGATAGGATGCCTGACGCTTCTAGCAGCCGTTCTCGGAACACCGAATGTCGCTTGTTCATATCAAAATCCGTCGCGAGGATCATCGGCTTAGAAGAATTTCCTGCATGGTTTTTACGCTTTCATGTTTTACATCGATATTGTCGCAGTTTTAACGATAGCTCGACTTATTCAATTAAAATCTGAGTTGGTGCTGTCGCCATGAAACCCCAGCAACGGGATCCGAATGGGACGGCATATCGAGATAGTTCGCACTGCCATCGCCTCTGGTTTGGGCCGAGGCGATAAGGACATCTTATTCGTTGGCCGCAAAGTGATGGGACGGACGACGTCGCGACTGGCGGGCTGGTACGAAGATATTCACAAAAATCATATTTCCGGTCCCTGCTATGGTAGCGCACGGCTTGGAATGTTCGCGGGTGATATTTTACATGCGGGGTGCGCGCGTGTCAAACGAGTGGCACCTGAAGTGCGAGTCGTAACACAGGTGATCCACCTATTTAAACAAAATGAGCTGGAGGCGTTGAGCTCTGAGAGGACAGACTGTAACAACTCCGCAGGTGGGACCATGGCTGCCGCTCCCCTGCTCAGTTTGTTTTCCTGTAGAAGACAGCTCGCTGCAGTGAAGTGACATTTCGAGGCAACCTGACGGCGCACGAAATTGTCGGTCACGCTTGGACGCACCGCCCCGCATCGCAAGCGGTGTCTACCCGCTCGTACGAAAAAAATGGGTCGCTGTTCGCTACAGACTAGGCCGACTTTTGATCGCATCAATATTATGCGGAGCGGAGCCTGCGTGATTCTGCACCGTGCGCGCGGAATCACGGAGGCCGCGTGTGTTGGAATAAAAAAAAAAAAAAAGCGCCACTTGAGCGATGAGATATGTTGTGTTCATCCTAAACTGGGCATCCCAGTTTTCTGTCACCAAGGGACAATCTTCTACGTCAACCTGCTTTTTTCACAACCTAATAGAAAGAAATTGAAGTTGCTGTCCATATCCCTGCACGTCGTAAGCTTGAATAAGCGTGCCCTCTGCTCACTTCCACTACAATTACTTGATCGCCTGTGTGTTGCTCGACGTGTGTTCTCATGTGGCATCCACGCCACTTGTTCAACTTTTTTGTCAGAATTAGGGTCACTTGCCGTGCGCTTGGGCAACAAGTGCGCGCGCATTGGAGTAGTAGTCGAGAAGAAAAACCGGAAAAGCCGCCGGCGAACTCTTCACTCACATGGCAGATGGCGCCACTCTTCTGCTCAGTGGCTGCTGTTGGCGCATAGTGGTAATGGGGGCAGCCGGAATGGTAACCAGGGCGCCGCAACACAGCTGCAGACCTGGCTGCCCGACTACCACTCCCATTTCCGATAAATAAAGTTTATTCATTCACAAGATGTATGCGGAATGGTAAACAGGGCGCCGCAACACAGCTGCAGACCTGGCTGCCCGACTACCACTCCCATTTCCGATAAATAAAGTTTATTCATCCACCAGATGTATGCGGATAGCTCAGTTCTCGGAGTTTTATTATATATGCTGACGTATACTTCAAAGGAGTAGGACAGTGCAGTAAACACGTACATGGATAGCAAACAAGCTGACGGAGCAGGGGCTATTTCGGTTCTTTTTATTTTTCTAGTCCACTTTGTTTCTTGCGGTGTACCTGGGACCAGGGCAGGTGATGTACAGAGTGACAATGAAGATTATCAAGGCATGAATGTTGTGAAAATGGTCGGTAATTATGTTATTGATTGCTAAGTGACGAGTATTCATCGTCGCCAACAGCGGAAAGGACGAGCGGAATGCAACACAGGACACTTGTGACCACAATAAATACGAGGTTGTAGGGTGAGCGTGTAATTTGAAAAGGAGCCAGAATTCAAGCTAAATGTAGCCAAAGTTGCCATTCCATGTAACGTTATCGCGAAATTTGCAGCCAAGTAGAGCAAATGTGGCATTATATCACAATAGTTTTTATTATTACTCACTAATATGACTTGAAAAAAGGAAATATTTATTAATTCATTGACCTCATTGCACCTAACTATATATACAATTGACGTTAACCAGACGTGACGGCTAGGAGTACATATGCAATGTTTATAAAACTGGATAGCCAGCACTGCAACCAGAATTGACGTCTCACAAACAGTAGGGTATATTTGAAAAGGAGTTCCGAGACTTGGCGTGGTTCTGCGGTAGAATGCTTGATTGGCACGCAGAATGTTGGGTTTGATTCCTGCTGAGACCCCGACATTTATTCTTTGCATTCGATCATCGGGTCAACGCTGCCGATGTCAGGTTTTTCTTAACGCACACGCGTTAAAATTGCCTACGGTTGTTCTCGTCGTTGCTGGGGAGATACTAAGTATCAATCACCTGTGGCACATACCCTCATACTAGTGGCACACACCTGCCCGCGGGTATGTGACACTGTCTGGCGGGACGTGTTTGACGATGCACGCGACGGGATTGTGACATTATTCATGTCATGACCGACCAGCTCCTCATATTCGTCAAATATTACCCTCGCATAATAATTTTGGTTCATGTCAAGTTAAGGGGTGATCACGAGAGCACCCAGACGTAAGCGGCTAGATAGATGGATACACAGATAGACGCCTAAAGTGCTTGCAGTAAAGAAAGAAAGGCTTCGCATTTAAAAATTCAGAAGCTATAAAAAAGACCGTAATTCAACGCTATTGTTACACTACATCCGCTACTTGAAAACATGACGAAAAATTTCCTTGAGATTAGGAAAACTTATGCAAGATATGAGTAATTTCGCGCTGCGCTAATTACAACGGGCGGCAAGGGGGAACATTTTTCCTGGAAATAGATAAAGTGGAACGTACATGCCCCACTGTCGCACAAAAGGTTAAAACATCCACTCGTGGTGCAATTCCAATGTACATACATCTGGAGCTGAGCTGCGTCCGACAAGCTGCTCACTACATTTTACAGCATAGTCCAGCGAAATGGACATTCTTTTGTGACTCTAAGCCCGCACTTCAACTAATTAGCAATTGCATGACGCAGGAAACCACACACAGTCATCTGGTGTGCAACATAACGAGCACGCTAAAAGAGGCGTCTCAATCAGGACATACCTTTGCGTTGCAATGGATTCCATAGCTGGGAATGAACAAGCTGACGCAAAAGCGAAAATATCGCACACTAGAGGCGAATTCATGTGAATTCAATGTTCGCGATACGACATCATCGCCTTGCTGTCGAAGGCGATGAAAATATTTATGAAACGACTATGCAGTGACCCTGAATATCGCCACGAGCTCAACTATACATACAGGCTTGACCCTGGTCGCACGTGCTTTTCGTCTTCCGCGCGGACTATAAAAGAGACCAGGAAATGACGTTTGCAACATTGGACAAGAGCAAAAGCCAAACTGCAGTGTGTGTCAGACGTCAAAGACTGTTCATGAAATCCTATGCGTGTGCCCTGAATACGCGGCCGAAAGACAACGGCTAAAGCACCTCATGGGTCTTATATAGACTAGCGACCCTCTCGAAGGAGAATCTTTTGGGTGCTCGGGAACGTGCGCATCCCGCCCAACGCAGCTTAAAGTGCTTGTTCGTATTTCTTAGCGAGACATGCTAGCCTTTCGTGTATACACGTGCTAATGTTGCTTCTGCATAGAGGCTTTCATGCGTGTCCTACTCTGCGCAAGAGAGTGTGCAGTATAGTCCACAGCTACCTCTCATCATGCCTCTCTCCTTCTCCCCCTTTGCCACTTACCCCTGTGAGGAGTAGCAGGCTAGAAAACCGCTTTCCAAACTGACCTCTCCACTGTCTTCTGATGAAACTTCTTCTGGAGCGACTCTACACTTCTGCCACGCAATACGTCCCACGCTTCCGCTACACGCATGGTTGTGTGGTAGAACACCTTCTTTTTCTCGCACAGGGCCTGGGTTCAATTCTCCCTCGAGCTGAAAATTTAAAATATTTATTTTATCCTCGTCTTTCCCTACTTTTGGGTTGCAGAAAACGTTGATGTTTCGCTGAAGACCAACGACGCCGATACCGACCCCGGAATTCTCGCGAAACGAGCGAAACGGCTATAGCGTCGAATGAGAATACACTCTGAGCAAAAATGAGGAATGAGCACAAATCCAAAGGCTGGATAAGCGGCTACTGCCTCGCGAAAACGCTCAATACAAACACTTGATTGGTAACGAAGGCGATTTCCCTCGTTGGCTACGCGCTGTAGAAAGACTACCATAGCGATAGATAACTAAAGAGGTGGGACATACAGCGCCATGATAAAAAAAAATGCACCGTGAAGAACGCTATGGTCGTATATTCTACGAAATATGGCCAAACGGCAAGAATAAGGAAAAGGGAGAGTTTCCTTAGAAACGGGTTGGGGGGGGGGGGGGTGAATTTTGTGGTTGTCTGGCTGGCAGTGCGGAAAGAATATTGCACTCTTCTTGTTTATATTACATGATATCTGAACATATAAGCATAAGTTACGAGCTCTAATGCAATGCGGTTCTAGAGTTATAAATAGGCAGACTGTTAGTGTTTCGTTTGACACGAATAACCATTGTATTTTGCGACATTTAATTCCACAGACCATGTTTGGACCAGGTAG